ACTTATTATGTGAAACTGCACATGCACATTTCACTTTGTGTGTACTCTCATTTGTTCATGACAAGTATTATTGCCACAGTCCATACAGTCGTTGGTCTACATAATAAACATTTATATTCAAAACATTCTTAATAGTATGATTGGTACTACTTTTTAATGTAGCATTTGAACAGGAAATTAAAATTCATAGTTACAGAATTTACAACTCGCCGAATGAAGGTCGAACAACCAGGAAATAAAATACAGTTTAAATCTTTCGAAAGGTTTTAATAACATCTTAAATTCATACTTGATGACAAAATTAATCGATGAAATACTACTTCAAAATTGAAGGCGAATTAAGTTCCATTGTAAGGAAATCATGGTCTTACAAAATGGCAAGGACAAGTACTTTGAATTCTGTTCTGGAAAAATTTTGATGGTACACTTTAATCGAATAAAACTATTTGTAAAAATTTAAAACTCACTAGGTTACGTAGATTTCTATCAGGCTTTCACCTGTTCTATGTTATGTTTTGTCAAAGTTATTTTCACTGTACGTTTTTTTTTATATTTTGGTCATTCGGGAGACTGTCAAGCGGGGCTCCGACATTCGAAATAATTTTCAGCTACGGAGAAGTTAAATGTTTTATATCATTACTTTTCTCTGGGGCTTATTTGTAATGAATAGGAGAAAACTTTTGTATCTGTCATTAATATTCAAACATACAGGGGTGCAGAAAACATTCTTACGGCAAGAAAACATGGAAAAAATTGGAAATAGAACTAAGAGCTACGACTAAAATTATGCAAATGATTGTGTTCATTCAGCTGAAATTTTGACTTTAAAAGATTTTTTGTAAGCTGTTTAATAAGAATAAATATATACTTTTTCCTCAAATTAGAATTCAATATGTTTACACTCACTAATAGTTTTAAATCTTTAAAAACATATGTCACAAAATATTTTTAACTGTACGGTCACTTGTCGGTAAACAACTTTCGACTGTTATATCACTTGGATCAGTTCTGTAATGTCGCATGGGAGCAGAGTCATGATTTTGGCTAGGGTATGCATGTAAAAAACCCGATTTTAGAATATATAAAAAAGAGATTAACAAATCAAATATCTTTAAAACCAACTCAGATTATTTTTCACTACCGTATTTATAAATCTATACAACTGTCTACACTACATAATTTATTTTATATACATATCATCGGCTGTCGTGTTCCCTAAAATTGCTTTCCACTTACTAGAACTAGTAATCGAGACGTCCTTATCATTTATATTCACAGAAGTGTGCACTTACACACACGTAAGATATATATTATCATTAACAAACAAGCTGGCAAATACAAATACAAGATAAATGTTGTACTTTGTTTCTTATTGGGAAAACCGAAAATGAACTTATTCGTTAAAACTTCGTTTTCAACTGTACAATTTATAGCGCAGATTGCTCGACTTGCTATAACATTGTTATTCTTTTTTATGCACGATGTTATGTTAAATCCGATATTACAAAGCATGTAAAAGCACTTATCAATTTGGAGTTTCACTTTCATATAAAAAGATACATAGACTTGTTCCCAAATTTATCAATAAATAAGGAACAGACAAGCCGTCGTAATGAAGAAAACAGCAACACCCCTTGTTAACTAAAAAATAGATAATTTCGCATTGTTTTTTTTTTTCGATCCTTATAATTTTTGGATTGTTTTCTGCTGAGGGTGTTTTTTTTTTAAATGCCAGCGCTGGAGACGTAAAATCCAGCGCTCTTGATTAAAAAGTCAAGCGCTTGAGATCCAAAGTCCTGCACTGTGAATAAAAAATTGTAGCGCTGTAGATATAAAGTCGAGCGCTGGAGTTGTTATATCCCGAGCGCTTGAACTTAAATATATATATATATATGTAGAATGTTTTCGTTACCAAATCTTGAAGCAGAAACTTAATATTGTAGCGCGTGCGATAATCAAAACTTACATTCAGCAACTTGTTGTTTTTTCGAATGTCGGAGCCCCGCTTGACAGTCACCCGAATGACCAAAATATTAAAAAAAACGGTACAGTTCCGTTCCCACACTGTGAGTGATACTGTAGACTTGTTATATGACGCATATTTACCTGTGCCACGTTGTATTATTTCTATTTGTATAGTGTACACTGGTAACTGCAATGTTTATCTTACAGGTGTCTGCTCGATTGAGTAATTTTTTAAACTACAGGTAAACAAATTAATATTAGACATTTTTGGAAACTGTAACACACCTACGATTAGGATTACAATTACACTTTCAGGTTACATTTTAATCTTGGGTCGTTTCAACGTGTAAAAATAAACCGTCGGTTCAAAAAAAAAGACATGAAAGACTAACTCCTGTGATGTTTTTCTATAGTTAAACAAAGGGATTTGAAAGAAATATCGGTACACAAAATGGAGTCTTGACAGCTTGAGGTGGAATCAGGACAACTCGGTTCAAAGGCAAATCGGACTTAAACAACGTGGGCGAAATAAAAGACAACTCTGTCTTCTTTTATAGACAGCTCGGATCAGATTGAAATACACCTCGGAACAGTTTGAAATACTTGTCAGACCAGTGGCTCTTTCGTAGTTTTTACGGTTGATATTATTTTTGTTTGTTTTTGTCTGGATTTTTTTCTTCAAAAACATATACAAGCCCTTGTTGTCTTAAGTGATCCTAAAATTTTCAAGATGGTCAAAATGCCTTTTTTTTTTTTACCGTCAGTCGCCAAATGGTGATTTTCTACTATCGTTAGCGTCACGTTGATTCAATTTTATGTTGTGGTTTGTCAAGTTATCTTTATTTGTCAGAGGTCTCAATTATTTAAACGTTACCGTTATAATAGGAAAAACTATACCATGATTTGTCAAAATCAGATGATTTTTAAATCGTCATGGAGAAATGAACTCTATGTTTCATTGAGGAGTTTTTGTGGACTTTTGTTTGTATTTTCGTCCCATTTTTAACATGGACATGATGGAGTCCGACTTATGGATTCTAAATGCCCTTTTGCCTCGTTTCCTCTTTTAAAAAAATAAAAGAAACTTAAGTTGCATTCAACATAAACATGCATTACATTTAAAATTAAATCAAGCATTTTAATGTATAGACCCCATGAACTTTGTTTAAATATTCTTAAAGCAGTCAGGTTGTCTTTTTAAAAGTACACGGATGTCTGTTAATGCCATCAAACAATTTTGTTATACGATGATCTTTTTTTTATATTTCTTAAGAAATAATATTGTTATATGTTATCAAATAAAACTATATTACATCCTTTTAGATTAAAATGCACTTTGCTTGTATAGATATTTGAATGCACACGAACATTAATAAGATCTTATTCGAACACATAACACGTCATGTATAACGAAATATTTTTATATTTTATTAGGAATACATGTATATTATGAACTGATATTCTAAAATGAATCGCCAACGCGAAATTTAGTATTTGTATCGTTAACGTCATAACCAGTAGAAAAATACCGTATACATTATTTGGCAAGATTTAAACGTTAATGTTAAAAAATCACGGTTAAGGAGCAGTTGCGGATACAAAAGTATAATCATATAAAAATGTATGACTCCTTCTAAATTCTGTCCGCTTTTGTAAATATTGTCTTGCTGGACATTTTTGTTGACAAAGTTTCTCTCTATCTTTTATAGTTCCAAGATAATAGGCAAGAATAAACAGAACTCGGAAAATAAATTGCCATTTAAGGAAAATCATTCATATAAGAAGTCATATACATGTTACTGTTTTGATATGATGGGTACTACGTAGATATTAAAATATTGATCAGTTCTGCCCTAGAAACATTTTCTTTTATTCAAGAGGTTTTCAAGATAGTAGGCAAAACTTGCATTTTACCGCTATGTTATACTTTTGGCCATGTCAGCCATGTTGATTGGTAGATTGGATTATCAGATTCGTTTTTGAAACACACAGACATGCATATGTCTCTTTTAAAACCCCCTCCTTCTTTTTTGATCAATAGGATATCAAAACGTACACAATAGAAAACATAGTATGAAAAGTCAGTACAAGAAATGCGCTCATCTTTAACACAACGGTATCACATTTGAAAAACACACACAAACCACAACTCTAATGATATACTGCAAAAGTTAGAACACGTTACAATTTATTTGAGTCGCTGCACCTGAAACCTCAAATCTTGTATACCATACTGATACAGTCAAAACTCAAAACGAAAAAAATGTTGTAATCCATCAACAACAGTAAAATTCGATATGTGTTTAATCAAATTTTGCTTGTTTAAGCTGCTTACAGTTCTCCCACTTTCACAAAATGTCAAACGTTTGAAGACTCAACTGACAGTGATTTGCAAAGATCACATGGCTAATTTGACAACTGTTATATTTATCTTTTTGAAACTTGTTAATGAAATCAAAACAGTGTGTACCGCTGTATGGGCTGGTCACTAATTACGATTATGACACGCCTACATAGCTATTGAATAGACATGACTTGATAGATAAAGATAAGCACGTGAAGCCAAACATTGAGAACTGTAGATATGTAATGTAAATGTATATATTTAATTAATAGAATAAAGAATAAGAACAGAAATATAGTTATTAGTTATTATAAAAAAATTTAAACAAATTACTCTAGGTGAAGTGTGAATCGGTTGTAAATACTCAGAAATCCATGTTTATAAAAATAGAAAAACAAATGATATGGAGTATCTATCCATGACACATAATCAGTTAATCCTTAACAAACAAAACACAACAAACCGCATACACACACACACACAGCAAAGGAATAGCGCTTTTATTGCTGTTTTCATCTCAAAGTCACAGTTAGGCCTTCAACAAGAAGCAAAACATACCTCTCATCTCACTGCAAAGTTAAGACGACCCCTAGCACCGGCTTGATCGGAATTCTTTGCAAAAATAATTGAATAGACTTTTTAAGATGTACTGTAACACCACCTAATTGGGCCTGGTCAGAAAAGAACATACTGAAAAGTAGTACATGTATTAAAAACAAAATAGTTCCTACGCATAAAGGTTAAACTATGTAGCATCTTGGATGGTAAAAACAGAGGACCTAAGGTCCAGATTTTCAATCAAGTTAGCAAAACTTGATGAAGGAATTCAGATAAATATAGTGAATTTTCACATAACTTATAAATATCAATTTTTTATACAAGTAAAGATTATTTTTAGTTGATTTTTAATGTTTTGAAATTCGCATTTTAAGGGGAGGTAACTCTGAAAACTGCATTTTCTGAAGGACTACATGGAATATACTATTTTGTATTTTAGCCGGAAAAATCATACGGTGACCCTATCTTTTTTTTTTATATTCTCAAAGCATTTTCTAAAAGCTATCGTTTCGTATTTTATTTTACAATTCTAACATTTAGTTTAGCTTCTAATCACATAATGATGTTTTTTTTCTGTATTATCCATACAAAATGTGTCATTTTGTCACAACCTGTAGCTTGAGAAAATGCGTGGTGACCTATCATTTTTATTATATTTTTGAACATATATTAATATATACTACGTTTTGACAAAGTATGAACAAATTCTATCATTTTTATTTTAGACTCCCATACCACCTTAATTATAAGGTATCAGATGGATGAAAGGTGAAGTAATGGTGAACCTTGTAGAGAACACAATTTACTGATAATTTTGAATAATACAAAAATGTATGAATGAATTCTAAAATTGAGAGCACTCATAGCCTGTTTCTCAGATATAAAGTTCCTGGTTTGGTTATCCAAAATTTCGGTAACCAGTGCAGTACGGTCTGATGTATAAATACAGGTATGTTGATCCTCTTCCATGATTTTTTTGAAGTGAAAAATGTAACATGGATAGGAATGAGGAACAAGTATAGATGGTGTGCTTGAGTTGTTAATTACGACTGTTACCTTGCCCTTTGACCAGTCTTTCACTAATATGTCAAAATACAACTGCAAAGTTTCATCAGTTAGCTCTATAGCGAAAGCAATGTCAGTTGTATGTAAATTCTTCATTGTTTTCCACTGAAAACGTTCATTTATGAAATAAGAATCAGAATGATCAATCAAACAGCGCATCATTCTTCCACCGAAGTAATGAGCCATGAAATCAAAAATTTGGTCATGTATGGCACTGTATGCTGCGTTTCTTTTACAAACTAGTGAACCTTCTAGTGTATCTAATGCATCCATGAGTTGAGTCTTTGGTGTACCTGTATTCAGTCTGCAAGCCAAATATACATCGTCTAAAACATGACGCTGTTCATCTGTGATTCTACCTTCGGCCCATGTTTCCTCGAGATAATTATTAAAAAGGACGTATAAAACAAGACTACACATTTTGTGCCTACCTTCATCACCATATCTATTAAGATTGTCTAATTCTTTTTTATAGAAATCGATCGGACTTCCAAACAAGTTGTTAACATCTGATCCTTCTTTTTCAGAAAGCCATTGCAAAGAACATGCCAGAGGAAGAAAATCACGTGATTGTGCAGTGTCATTGAAGTTTTTGTTACCAAAGTAATTTTCTTTCAATTTTGTTTTCTCTGATTGAGTAAGACACATTTCTTCTGAGCTTAAATTGCATTCAAATATATTAAAAGGCTCTAATGAATTGAATTTATCATCCCTATAGACTTGCAATCTACAGGTTGCAATAATTTTGATACACTTGTCTGCCAGTATTTGTTCAATTTTTGGCAACAATTGTTGCCAATTCTCAAGCGTTGTTTGGTTTGCAATGAAGTTACCACATATATCATCTATAAGAAACAGAGTTCGTTTCCCAGGGGTATAATAGTCCCTTATATCTATTGGTGTTTGGATTGGAATAATCATATATCCTTCTGACTCGAATTGAAGGGCGATATGTCGAGCAACAAACGTTTTTCCTTCCCCTGGACTGCCTGTCAGTGTCACGCAGCTCTGTTTATTCAGGTGACTGGAAACATAAGCGCTTGCTCTTGTAGGTACAAATTTGTTGTCTTTAATTTTCCACTCTTCTGTGTCTTTGTTAATTTGATCTATAATGTAAAACAGAGGCAAACAATACAAGGGGACAATCAAAACCAATTAGTCGAGAGAAGTTGACAACGCCAGGGCATAAATAGATGACAAAAAGTTCCCAAAACACTACAGAGACTCAGAGACTCAGAAACAAGAAACCCCGAAAAAAGCCGTTGATGTTCCCAGTTGCTGTATTCCTTAACAAACAAGCATTTTGTGAATATTGCCTGGCTAACATAGTCCGGTACCGGTTAACAATTCATTGTATGGGAACAAAATGCTAACTTGATCTATAACTTGTCATAGTGTACATGTAAACTATATAACAAATATCAAGTCAATATCTTCAAGCATGACGGAAATATTGGAGGAAAACTGATTATTTCAGTGAATTTTCCAAGTCCAAAGACCATAACTCTGCACAAAATCATTAAACCCGACCAAAATTCAAACTTGATCTGTAACATGTCATGATAAAACTATTTACTAATCAGCAAATCAACCTCTATAAGAATGACGAAAAAAGTAAGGAAAACTGAATATTTTAGTGAATTTTCTTAATTCAAGGATTATAACTCTGCACAAAATCGTCAGACCGGAATATAATTCGAACTTGATCTGTAACTTGTCATGGTGAAACAATACATCAAATATCAAATCAGTATCATCAAGCACGAAGAAAGAAAGTGTGGAAAACTGATTTACTGGACTGACGAATGGACAGACAGACAGACGGACTGACGGAGTCCCAACCTAAAGTCCCCATCGACTTTGTCAATAGGGGACTAATAATATGAACATTCAGTAATGTAATATTGTATTTGAAAGGAGTACGGAAAAGAATAGGTACTTAGACATGTAATGAAACATGTAAATTTTGTTATTATTCAATGTTTTTTGCTCACATCATAATAATAAACAAATAGAAACGCAGAGCACACATGTAAATAGCTAACTGTTGTTACAATAAAGCTTTTGTGTAAGAAAAACCGGGCAGGGAGTTCTGTCGTTAAAATTACTGAACCTTTTTGAGTATCAATTTTGTAGTTTTTAGTTTCATCTCGACATTTTAAACTTCCAACTTGTAATTTTTAAAAGTTAACATTTTTCACACGTTCAAGTTTTATTATGATGAGTGTTATTAACAGAGAAATGTCAACTTGGAATTGAGAAATTTCTAGCTAGAAGTGAAATATGTCAAGTATGAAGTGAATAGTCATTTTGCAAGTGAACATTGTCAACTTGGAGTGAACGAGTAGGATGAAAGTGCGAAATGTCAAGACGGAAATGAAAATACCAAGCTGGAAGTGGGAAATGTCCTACAAGTAAGAAACGAAAGCATGAAACTATTACATATACTGTATCTACCAGTCTTTAATAATTGTAGAAGATACTCATTATTCAGCGCTAGCTGATTGTAATAACATGACATATAAGTTACTGTTTACAGTTTATAATTTGCTATCAAATTGTTCGACATAATTTTCAAGAGCATGAACATTTTTTAAAAATCTTATTATTTTTTTGTCGACAATGACTTTTAGTGAGTCATCCAATGGTTTTATTAATTTAACAAGTTTGTACATAATGTTTTGTTGATCTGTTTTGCTGTTAAAAGTTTCTATCTATCTACCATAGTTAACAGTTAACGAGATATAAGACAACTATTTTTTTATGTTACTAGGCAAAAAGATCAAAGATAGTAAAAGAACGTCATTTAAAGTGTTTTATGAGTCCTCTGATAATTTTAGTGCAAGCAGGATGAAGAGAGATCTTGACATTCCAAACAATTGTGCACCGGCCGATTTTCTCTATCCTTCATTGTTCTTACTTTACAAGACAACTTAAGCATTTTCCCGTAATGTATTTTTAGTCACGATGGTGATGTTTGTTGACTTTTTTGTTAACGCCATTAACTACCAATGAGAGTCTTTGCCCTCCTTTTGGTGGCATTTGAATGGTTATTGGTATAATGTTGAGATAAAAGATAACATGTTTATTGTAAAAAAATATAATAATAAAAAAAAAAACAATGATGCGCTTTGTAACAATGAGCGTCTCTTAAGTGATGGTTTATGCCAAAATATCTGAAAATCCGAAACCTTATAGAAACTATGAAGAGTTGATATAACCTAAAACTGGATAAATAATGATGCTATATGAGAGGGAGATACATTCCTTCAATAAATCAATGAACATATGTGCATGCTATTACAGAAGTAACGGGTATGTAAACTGGTGCACCAGCAGACAAATGGACAAAGCGGCTCAAACGGAAGATACGTACCGCTTTATAGTACATATTAGGCCAGATAGTATAATTTTGTGCGGTTTTTAAAACATTTACAGACTTCCGATTAGATGACAGGTGGTATGTATTTCTGCTCGCACCAATAACGTTTCTATAATAGCAGTCTTGATCCTGTATTACTGTATTATGAATCACAGATTATGGCCAAAATCAGTAAATACCCGTCTAAATTCCATCTAATCAACACATTAGCATTATTACATGTTTGCTCTTAATAATCAAGAAAACTGTTTATAGCTATTTATCGTTTCCCTTTCTTGAACGATGATGTTCCTTTGGTCCTTTTTACGATGTGTATATCTCCCTTCTAGGTCATTATACTTGAGTCTGTAGTGACGTTTTAAATTATCAATGAACGTAACCTATGTATAATTGATAAATACCAAATAGTGATGTCGGTACTATAAATTACTGAAATATTGTACTTAGTTCTCGCACAAACACACACATTTGATTTTGAAGTATAACTGTACCTTATTCAAAACGGAATTTCACGTCGTAATTTTCCAGAAAAGTTGTCTAAAAGCTCGTCAATTTTGAAACGACCAATTTAAACTTATTTATCTTTTAAATGTATTTTTTTCTAACAGGATATCAATAAACACCATAGTTAGATCTTTAAATACTGTTTAAAAGGATTACTTACATAGATTTTGTAATTGATCAATTAAACCTTACTAATTATGTATTGCTTTACTGATATGAAAATATTCTGTCCTACACCCTGTCGGAATGCAGACTTATTTTGGTCTTAACAAGGACGTGCTTTGTAAGACTTTTATACATTATGTCTTTACAGTAAATGCAGTGCGTGTGTACTTATTGATACTTTATTCTGGGAGAATGTAATTTCTTAATTAGTTGTTTTTGGCTTTATAGTAGCTTTCAGAAACTTTGAGTACTCTTAGATTGGTACTTTTTGTCTTAGCTTCGTGCCTAAATAATGAGTCAAGTCCTTTTAAACGGATTTTTACAGTTCGATCGTATAATGTGATGTTACATCACACATTTGTCTTGTGTTGTTGTCTGTCATCTTTAACGTGTCAAATTATCAATCAGATCTTTAGTTTTGTCGTTTGAATTATTTCACACTTTGTCAAGACTGTTTGTGTTTTGCACATTGCTGGACGCCTACGGTAACCCATGATTTCATAAATCTGTTATATTTAGCCGATGTTAAACAATTGTTTTATTGTCAGTCCAACCACATACCCTTGTCTTATCATGTAGTCTCTACGGACGTTGGGTATTTTATGAAATACATTCCACTTTATACTAGATTAAAATCGATGTAGTCTTAGACAAAAAAAATTATGAGACATCCAGTAGAGGATTGTTACCGCCATTTATCAAACTAAATAAGTGTGAAATAATATTTTTTAAATAAAGGTTTACAAATCAGTACTCTCAAACGGCATGAACAAGTTTGGATTTTCATTTTCAGAAAATGAAATACTTAACATTTACCAATCTGAAGAAAGAACCTAATTTACAGGCATTGCGTTGTTGATTCGAATGAAACATGATAATTTGTAGTTTCAGACGAGAATGTATATGACATATGTTTACCCATAAGAATCAGCAAATTCTTTTTTTATTCATGTTTTCTATCGAATTAGAACATACATTCTACATTGGTGTGTCTGCAAATTTTTCAGTGGCCACCTCAATTCAGAAAAAAGAATTATATTCGAAACTAAAAAAGTACGAACAAAAAGTACTTCTAGCATCTCACACGCTAAGTACGTGTAAGTTGGATATTGTTTGGATATAAAAATATATATTTATCTTTGAATTGAGTTGAATTATAGTGGAAAAAATACTGTACACTTACCTCTTATATTCTTAGGAATGGTTTCTTCTTGTTCAGTTTGCAAAGTAGCAACTTTTGTATTCAAACCAGATATATCCAGTTCATCTGTAATTTATCATACCTAATGTTATCTGAATAAATTTCCTAAATCAGATTAATTGGCTGTCTTCATATTTTGAGTCTTTTTGCGCTAAAATGATTCTTAGAACATTTATTGAAAACAGTAGGTTAACCAGATTTATATTTTTCGCGAAGGTGAACTACCGAATTAGACTTATCACGAGGTTTGGACTTACATGAGCAGCACGGCGGATGCTTGAGATGGAGCAGGATCTACTTTCTTCTGGATTAAATGAGATCATGAAGTTTTTTGTTTTCAATGTTGTATTTTGTACGTTGTTTCTTGTCTTTGGTCGTTTTTTTGTTTTTTTTTTCTTTTGTCTTGCATTGTCAGTTCGTTATCGACTTATTGATTTGAATATCCCTTTTGCATCTTTTACCTCTCTTTTTCGATAAATTATTGTCATATAGAGTTAAAAAAAAATTGATTCATTTCAAATTTCAATTGTAATCATGCATCAGCGGGAATCGGTACAAGATCATTTATGATATAGAACTTAAAAAATAAAAATTCTAAACATATTATAGTTCTATTGCAAAAACAATTACATTTATTATATTCATTCCATTGTACGTAATATGTGTCATTATACGATCAACAGATAGTTGTCACAATAACTATATGTATAATTATTTAAATGGTTACTTCAATAATCTATCTAAAGTTCTAATGTCAAATATTTGACACACGTTGTCTGATTTAGTTCTTACATATAGACATATCTACTATATACATGTATCATTATAATGAACTTTATCTGTGACGCACACGTGTAGTGTTATTGTTTTGTATGAAAGAGTCAATGGACAACATCAAAAGAAAAACAATCTTTTTTTTATTAGTGAAATACAGTATTAAACAAAGTGCTAGCAATTTAATTATATCATTTATTATTCACCGTTTTAAATCTTAAAACCTTTTGTCTAGCAAGGATCTTGTCATTGATAAATTCAATTTATTTTCAAGTGCTTAAGTGCATACATGAAATTTGCTGTTGATGGAACCTATCAAATCTTATCAAAAATGTTATTGCCTGACGGAACTACTTTGAAAATGAGTGCACAGTTATAAAGGTTCGTTGTGCGGTCAAACAATCTCAAAGACTTCTAGAGTGGTATTTGGTTCTAATTGATATACTTCATTATCAATTTTCGTCAAAATAAAGATGACATGTGTGCCATTTTGTTTGTCAAACACACACCAAAAAATGAATAAGATTTAAACATAGCACTAAACTATTTATTTGGCTACTTGTCTGTTTCTTGACTTACTTACTTTGTTGACGCAGCTCATCAACTCTATGACTGACCGCGGATATATTTAATTGCATTATTGCTTCTCTTTCAATCAGAATTCCCAATTGTCGAAGGTACATTTGTTCTGTTTCCGGATCTATGCAGCAAGTTTTAACGTTTTCTATTCTTGACACATATTCTCTGTTCCGTTTATTCAGGTATACTTCAAGTCTACTTGCAATGTCTATAAAAAATGAGAACCTATTCTCTAGTTCTAAGTCTGAGATATTTGTATTCACATTATGAACAATATCATTCCGGCTACGCCTGATACGTTCTACATCATCTCCAATTGTAGTTTCTGTCAAATTTGGTGGAATTCGGTTATCCCAGCCTTGTGTTTGCGGTGGAACTAAATTTAAATTTCTTATTATCTTGTACATAAGAGCAACATCAAAATCAGCATATTGTTTTGTTCGGACAGTTGCTATGACACTTAATTCAAAGGCTCTCAGTGTATAAGACAGGTACGTGTTATTACGAATATCGCCATCAAGAGACGCGGGTGGCTCTTGTAACAAAAGCAATTCCCGAAGTATGTTTGGAAGCTCAGTCTGAGAGACTATGAATAATCTAACAAAGTTACTTATGTTCGCACTAGAGCCTGGGGATAATGTCGAATTCCTTGCTCCCATGTCTTTGCTACAGTCAATTCGCAGTTCTTGTTCGGAAAATCATAGGACCTGGCATGTCTTTAGTAATCACTAGCTTCTATAGTACATTGTATCTTATATCATGAAAATGATTAGCATACCATAAACATATGCATCATGAGATCAAACCTAAAAATACCCTAAGTTAAGGATCAACATTTTAATAAACGTTATGCATGAATAATTATGCGTTTCTGAAATGATGGATTTTTAAAAGGCATAGCAACATATCATACATTATAAAGCCATAGCTAAACACATGCATAAGGAATAGAAATGATTTTTAAAGAGTAACGTAAAGTACTCAAGTGACAAAAATGGGTATTTAAAACTAAATTGTAAAAAAAAAACTGCTGCGCCGTATACACACAATGGCATCCGTTATGTGTTACAAGGAATGCAGAAAAAATGGTGCTTAGATATACTAAGAATAGTCCGAGTCATATGAAGACATATAACCGTTACTATACAAATTTTTGATCAACGGGTGTCGATGATGTTGTGTTACAATAATTAAACAAAATGGTTTATTTCTCACAGTAGTGTGGTCAATTGTGTATGATGACAAACAATCCTTCAGAGATTTAATGAGGGGTTGCTTCCACAAGGTTTTTATTGTGTTCTGATAGTTATAATACAAATCAATTCCAAAATAAATGCAGTAAAATTTCCCTCAAAAACTCAAAAGAAATCTATAGAATATTGCGATATAACATTACAGAGTACTAACAACAATACAATTTCAAATGATCTAAATATTTGTCACCGAATACATATTTACTTTGGCAACACAACAACTGACACATGTGGGGCATACCTGCTTACGCTTTCAGACCATGATCAACCCCAGATTTTGCTATGGTTCGTGTAGCTCATTGTTTAAATTGTCTTTTATGTTGTGTTTTTTCCTTTGCTGTTTTTCGTTGTTTTTTATGTCATGGCGTTGTCAGTTTGTCATCGACATATGAGTTTGAATATCCTTCTGGTTTGGCATCGCCTCTCTCTTATCATAAAAAAAAAATGGTTCGGTGAAATTTAATTGAAAAAGTCGATAAAAAACTGCAAGAAAAACACAAAATAGCATTACTGTTTAAAATTGACTACGAATGGAATACATACAGGAAATAGAGAAATAAACATGATAAAATAGGAACACATGTGAATTAAGAAAAAAATCTTAATAATGTCTTTTAGATGTGCACTTCTTATAATGACACTATTCTTGCCTTTTCAAAACAAATTGCTTTTCTGATTGAAATATTTTATAGCCAGAGAGAAGATAACATGACAATGTATCATTTTATATATTATATAAATAATATTTTATAACCATGTATCTTTTTTGCTTTCTGAGGTCAAGCAGGAAACCTTTACTTCAATAGCTCATTGGATGACCTTGAAGGTTGGAAAATAGCAACATTTCAACACAAAGCAAGACAACAAACCAATGCAAAAGACAATGCAAAAGAGAAAGAAACAAAAAAGACAAGCAACAACATACCATAACGTAGATAAGAAAACACTACCTTTTTGTTGTTTATTTTTGAGAATTTCTTGTTATTTAAAAGTAAAACTTATAAGGGGTTGACAGATTCATCTTTGGTGAAGTGATCCATAATAAAACATTGAAACCTGTTTAAACCCATCCCATTTGAACCTGATTTTGTTTTTCATTTTAACCAATGTGAAGTTAGTATAATTTTGATTGACGGTCTCCAAACAATCAAACTAAACAAATATTTGGTTACATTTTATCTAATTGTTCACTAAGTTTTTAACAGTTATGGTGGTCTTAACAAATAAAGGCAACAGTAGTATACCGCTGTTCAATAGTCATAATTCGATTGAGCAAAAACAAATCCGGGTAACAAACTGAAACCGATGGAAACACATCAATTTTGAGAGGAAAACAACAGAACAACTGACACACTGAACGACAACAAAAGCAAAAAGCCAACATACGCAGAAACAGATTGAAGATAGGAACTGCCTTATGTCTGACTAGATACAGGCAGACTATAGCGTATTGCTATGTGTTTCTTTATCCTACATTGCTAGAGGTATAGGAAGGGTTGAGATATCACAAAACATGTTTAACCCCGCCGCATATTTGCGCCTGTCCCAAGTCAGGAGCCTCTGGTCTTTGTTAGGCTTGTATTCTTTTTTTAAATTTTAGTTCATTTATATGTTTTGGAGTTTAGTGTGACGTCCATTTTCACTGAACTAGTACACAATTTTATTTAGGGGCCAGCTGAGGACCACCTCCGGTTGCGGGATTTTCTCGCTGCGTTGAAGACTCATTGGTGGCCTTCGGCTGTTGTCTGCTCTTTGGTCGGGTTGTTGTCTCTTTGACATATACCCCATTTCCATTCTCAATTTTAATAAACATTATGATCGAAATCAACTTGATTTTGTAAGGTTGTGAAAATATTTAACTTCATTTTACTCAAACTTTTTTTGGAAAAATAACTGAGAACAATTACTTATGATTATCAAGACTCAGAAAGGGTCAACGAACATAATGTGGGCTATCTTTTTATATCTTATATTATGATTTCTTTTTTTAAAGTAAACAATTCTCTGTTTGTACATTTTTTTTTATTTTGATGTTTTCTGGAACTAATGTTTTCCGAGCTCACCTTACACTTTGTCATGTTTATGTACTACACAAAAAGCATGACAATGTATGAAGGGTATTATCACTCACAGTCTTTGGGCTACATATTTATAATTCATATCCAAAATATTTCTAATAGTACAATTGTTTTTCTTTTTCAATGAAACATTTAAATCGGAATTGGGAAACGAAATTGAAATAAATACTTACGCAAGTTGCAACTCACCGCATGAAGTCGAACAACCAGGAAATAAAATACAGTTTAGGTCTTTCAAAAGGTTTCAAACACAGCTCAAGAATATTCTTGGTGAAAAAAATAATCAATAAAAAATTACTTCGTAATTGAAGGTGACTTTTGACCCTTTTTAAGAAACAATGGTCTGACAAATGGCGATAAAAAACGTTGAAATGCAGTTGCCTTAGTTATAATATATTTGAAACATGCTTAACAAGTGCAAAGACAAATACCTTAATGCCAAATGCTTTTTGCGTCTAAGTCTATAGCATCATACAATTAATTTTACTGTAAATTCATCCGTCAAAAAATCGCAAAAAAAATTCACGCAATAATTTCTGAATTGACAGTAACAGTTAATTCATCAAACAAAATAGACATGACATAATTAGGTTAAAAGGCACGTGCTACCTTTCCTTGTCCTTATTTCTTGATATTAAAATGTTAAATCTAATTTAAGTAAAGAATTAAAACAAACATATAGGCAACTGAACAGTATGACAGTAGCAAGTGCTTCGGATTCTGTTCTGGTAAGATTTCGATGGTAAGCTTGAATCGGATAAAACTATTTGTAAAAATGGTACAATTCCTAAAGTACGTAGATTTCCATCCGGCTTTCGCTTATTCTATGTTATGTTTTATGGACAGTATACTGTAGACAAGGTAGATAACACGTAATTTACCTGTTTTACGTTTTATTCTTTCTATTTATATCGTACACATTTTTATTGCAATGTTTATTTTACATATGGTCCCGTTAACTACGTCTTGTGTTTTCATAAGATAAGATAAGATAAGATAAGATTAACTTTAATTTATATTTAAAATGTTGTCTCACAGTTAAATAATATATAAACAGCACATAGCTGAGAGGGTGATAGATCAGATTGTTTCCCCGAGAAAACCTTGTCAACAGAGGCGAACCAAAACATATAAAGGAAAAATGTTTAGCATTTTGCCAAAATAAAAACAAAATGAATGTTTAAATTGTTGCTTAAATTCTAGAAAAATTTAATAAGAAAAATATTAAAACTTTAAAATAAAACAAATGTCATAATGAATGATTTTTGTTTTATTTATTCACCTTATTTTTTGGCTTACTTTTGAAATTGCTTTTTCTGCAATTCTGAAACTTGCACTTTCAAATATATAATTGATGTTTTATTAAACACACAAATTTGGTGCTGATAAAACATGTCCTTGGTTATAATTCAAAGGGCTTAGTGCACCAAGGAGTCAATGACAGTGTTTAGACTGACCTGTACACACTCAGAGTCAAGCAGTAACAACCTTAATGTTTTTTAAAGCATTTAATCGAAATTCATATAGTATAACAGCTTTTTCACAAGCACTTGTAGGTGGATGATAAATACATTTTTATTATAATTCAATTTTTATATCATTTCCGGGTTTTTCAAACCCAGTCTAGGTTTTTGCCAGTGGCATCCAAGAAATGACGATAAAATAAACAATTTACTCGTGGGTTTAAATGTGATATATTAATACCTTTAAGTTTAAAAAAGAATAAAAAGGTTCGAATAAAGTGCTTCTCATTACCCAAAGAAAAGCACATACAAAATCATCATGTGATCATTGCTTAAAACGATTTTGAAAATGTTGTATTTACATATTTCATTAAAACAGTGTCGTATATTTGTATATGTTGTTTTGTTTCAAATCTTTTGAGCTTTTAATTGCTTTTTTTTTTCGAAAAATTACAAAACTAAATTATGTTTACACTATTCATCTAAATATGGTGAACATTATATCATTCCAGAAATTAAAGAGAACACGGTACAACTTTAGTATGAAGCGGAATACAATTTAATATAATGTAATACAAGGCTTTCGTTTTCTATGTTGTGTTTTGACGACTGCTGTTCGTCTTTTGGTCGTTTTTCTGTTACTGTCACGGTATTTTGAGTTATGAGTTTGACTATCCCTTTGGTTTCTTCCGCCTTTCTTTCAGACGTACGGTTTTCTAGCATATGTTCTAACGAAGTTGACTTGAAATAAAGATCAACGGGACTTTGGATTAACACTAACGTCACTTTTGCATGAAATCAGCATTCAGATACCACATAAGTTTTAAAGCTTTATAAAACATGTTAAAAGTCGATATCGACATCTTATCCGTAAATGTAATGTTTTTCGTAACAAAAAATGTCAGACGTTTAGATGTAACAAAGTAGGATGTTTGTGCGCACGTAAAATTGATTTTAGCAAACCATATGTTTTGTCTGATATAACTCCGACTATTTGAGCAATGTGTTGTTCTTTGTTGCATGTTTGTCTTTTTTGTGTGTCAGTTTTTGTGGAGGGTCACGTGTTTGTTGGTGTCTGATATGCTATACTGGCCGGTATTCTTGATAATTCTTGTTCCCATTTTGTGTATAATATCGGGGTTTACAAACTAGTTTTTTCATTGTTTTTGTTTTTATTTTAGGGAGGTTGCTTTTTTTTGTTAAATTATTAGTAATTTACTTTGACTTGATTTGTATAAAGTTAATAACACTTAAAAACTTTCCTGTATCCGCAGTGCTTTCTTTGGTTTAGGCCTACGTTAAAAACGTTTCGGCATTTGAACGGCAGGGATACATATATATACGTTAAAAAAGATGGGAGCTGCTATTTGACCAAAAGTAAACTAAATTTCTTAAGTAAGTATAGGTGACCTATAGTTGGTAACTGTTACGTCATTTGGTCTATGCTGTAGAGTTGTCTCATTGGCAATCATACCACATCATCTTATTTTAATATAGGGTTTGCTCACATATTTTATGAGGAAACAACGTTTATTGTTCATACAAAAATATGCAGATCCCTCTCCGAAATATGTTATGGAGCATATGCGTCTACTGGACCAGATGCTGGCAACATTTTTTCCAGTGGTAGTTTATACGTTTCAGCTGTAAAAAAAAGGTAGGAAATAGTTTGTTTACGTTTGGTCAATGATACCCTGGGCAGATGAATTCTTTAATTTTGAAAGCTGACCGCTTAATGACGCAAACACTGTTGATGCGTCAGCATAAGGAAGGTGATAATTAAGTGTATTTTTTTTAGGACAAAGTGGATATTATTTCTGTCAATTTCATACACTATAATATTGTGATAAGCCGCTTAACGCGAACTTATTCCCTTTCAAATTTACAAATGTTATTAAAAAAAGATTGGTATGTCTTTTAACAAGGATTCTATTTTAAAATATCAACCGAAACACTTTT